ATTGAGATTGCTCCTAAGCACGGATACTTGTATTATTCGGCTTACAATATTTTATGATATCAAACAAACGGTCAACTTTAGATTGCAACAAGACCAGCATTTGTGCGTTTAAAAGCCGTAACAAGTTTTAATGCTTTTCGCAAAAAAGAATATATAAGGAACGCGTATACAATTGAGTAAGATTAGATATTTCTCAAAGGAATTTACTTATATCAAGTCTATTTCTAATAAAAAATACAATTAAAAAAATTTTTGTCCAATTTCATACCACTCAGTTCAACACTTATGAAGTTATATTTGTTTTTCTAGTCCAACTGCACCCTCATTGCGTGATGTAATACTGGTACATACGTGTATTATATTGGTATTAGTGTGTGTATTACTACCTACATGGTGCAGTAACATCATATTTGAGTTGACACAATGGGAACAGCAAATAATAACATGCAAATCGTTCAGTGTTCTGTAAAAACTTCCTGACCTGGATACCAGTGGCAGTATAGTATTTGTTGGAAGTTGTTTACAATGAGAGGATTTTATTTTGATATGACCTTCATCGAATGTTTGATAGGCTTTGAAAATAAAATATTGTTTCAATGGCTCGTTAATAGGTTAACCAATTGTAAGTTAAAACCTCGAAAAGTTTTGTAAGCAATCGAACAGAAACAATAATGAGAATTGTAACTTTATAATTTGTTGCGATTGATATTATTCAATATAAAAACCTAGTCTGTGTAGTGAGTATGGCATGTTATACAGGACCGTCAAAAGAGTTTGTGAAATATTTACGCTTGAATACTTTTTATCTATCAATAGATAAAATGTTTTATTTGGTTTACTGAAATATACGCGTTTATTTTTGTTACACTACGCGCCACTAAATATTTCAATAGAACATGGCTTTCATTGTGAAATTATTAGGGAATTTAAAGTGGAGAGAATAGTTTTAGGCTTGATGTAATGGAACTGAATAGAGATTACCATGAATAATTAATTATATCTTACCAATCTTGAATTTAGTCTTGAGGTTAATATTGTCGAAGAATGAGAAAGTCCTTTATATAACTTTAAAATACAATTACATAATCTATAGAGAAAATCGCCAACAAATAAATGCAAAATGAATTAGGAAAAAACTGTGATGAATTTCTTGACCATTTTGAACAACATTAATAATACAAACAACAAGAATCACATGTAGTAAAAAATTGAAAAACCTAAAAACATGTGTTGGAGACAGACTAAAATAAAATAAACCATAGAATACTAAACAGATTGTATATTGGAATTACTTTGTAGATCTTTATTTACCTCACTATTACACTAACTTGGAAGGTACTACGATGCAGTTTGAAATTATTATTAAGTAGTTTAGTTAAATTAATAAAGGATTTCATCACTGTTGTTGCATATAAACAATATATTTTCTATTATATTCCAGGTTTTGATGATTTTCCTTGCATATTTGTATGTCTCACAGTAAAATTCCGGTTTTGATTTTGGTTTTGAATCTCAATGTTAACGATCTCACTTTTAAGAAACAAATGCTATTTTAAAAAAAGTTAACCATCAATTGTATCTCTAGGATAATAAAAATCCTAAGCTTAAATTAGATTTAAATAATATAGAATATAATAAAAAATTATAATAATAGTGTGGCTGACACTTTTTCTACTTTTTTTCTAATATTCCCTATTTTTACTGTAATTTAAGCTTAGAATGTGTATTACCCTAAAGATATAATCGATGATTGTATGATTTATGGACATATTTGTATGTCTGACTGTAAATTCTGATTGTATTCCTGGTTTTGGATTTAAAAGTTAACGATCTTATTATTAAGTTACAAATACTATTTACAAAAATACAACTACTGTATCAATTTTACCACTAGGATAGTCCAGTATAAAATCTTAAGCTTAAATTAGAGCTTAAAAATAGGGAATATAAGAAAAACGTATAATAAAAGTGTGACACTTTTCTACTTCTTATTTTTATTTTTAGAATACACAATGACATATTATTATGTGTATTCTAACGTCTTGCATGTATGCAAGCTAACAGGAAATTGTTTTCATTGAAACACAAGCAAAGTCTACACGCTGTGGGGAAGTCAAGAGGAAATTATTGTTTGCCCGATTAACACAATATGCCTGAACCATGGTATTAAGGGCAAACATTCAACATGTGTTTAAATAAATTATTTACAGTCTAAGTCTATACGTTGACCCATTGTTTAGCTCCTATACGTATTAAAAATTGTATGGTTTGAATTTATAACAAAAATATTTTATTCACATCGAATTATGAATATGAAATTAAGTATTTTTATAGATATAAGAATATATGTGCTTATTTGAAAATGCTTACAGTGTATTTTGGAAAATAAAATTATAACATGAGCTATTCATCTGATTTTAGCATTTCAATGTCAGGTACTGAAGGATTTGTCGTTTGTATAATGATTTGACCTAGTTGCACAATATTCACAGTGGACTTAGTGAAAGGGGTTTGGAACAGTTTCAAGTCGTAAAGAGATTGAGAGCACAATTGTTAAGATTTTACGTCAGTTGAAAATAATTGTAAGGGGAAACTTTATGATCACTAATAAACGGTATCAGCAATCTGACACATAACTTCTCCCATTAGCTTTCAGGTTTCAGGTACAATCCCCATCTGTAGAAATGGGCTAATAAATAATTAAGATACACAGTTGTTATTATAAGCCATTATTCAAGAAACTTGGAATTTTAACTGTCACTTCTCTGTACATTTTAGATTGTTTACTGTATATTAAAAATAATATTAGAGATTTCTCTACAAATGATTCAGTTCATAGCCATTTTACCAGACAAAGCACTTTTCTCCGTCCAAATCAATGTAATTTTATGACCTCAATCAATAACTTAAGTGAATTTGGCAAAAGATTGTATAATATGTTACCTGCTCACATTAAATGTCTTGAAATACAACAATTTAAATTTACTATTAGAAAGATTTTGTGTGAATAATGTGTGTATAAGGTCAAAGAGTTTTTAGAACATATTACGTAGGTTAATGGATATACTGTGATGAAATTGTATGACGTTGCTATTCATGTATTTATAATGTTGATGGCAATAAATGGATTTGATTTGATTTTATTTTATTTTTTAGAAATAAATGTGGCACATAGTTGTAAAATTATTTACAAATGTATTGTTTTTTAGAAATTTTGAAATATATTTTTCATTTGTAAGTTCATATTCACGCTGCAACTAGTCCTACTTTTAAACACCCGCAGCTGTTCGACCTTGGCTCACATTCACTAACAATTAGTGCAACACCAGAATTAAAATGCACAATTTAACTAGAAAATTCTCATAGCTAAATTCCAAAGAACACATACTTTTAACTCTTTGATGTTTAGGTTTCTTGTTGTTTGAACTAAAATCAACGTGTAAAAAAATAAATCATAAAAATGTCCTTTCAAATAAGTTAAAATTTCCAACAATCATAAAAAGAATTCGGACCAAAGTGAATTTATGTGGATTTATAATTTCTTAAGAGTTCAATTATATTCGAAATCCTTGTAAAATAACAAATAAATGCTTACAGCTTTACCCTAGTAACTATCAGTTTAACATTAAAGCAAGGTTGATTAAATTATGTATCAAGTAGAATTATGTTTGATAAAATCTCTTTTAAAAAGATAAACGCCTTTTTTATTAATCCTAAATTTGTAATATTTGATGAGCCAATTTGTGTCATTGATTTTCAAAATATAGCGTCTAAAATCAATTTTATTTAGTGTATTGAGCACCAGCCACACTGTTGAACAATTTAAAATCAATATTAACTAGCTATTACCAATTACCCACGGGCTTCACTCCGTTTGACTTCATAAGTATTTATTAAACTATTGATTGGTTAAGTTGTTAAGATAAGCTGAAATAAACAAAACAGAATACAGTAATTAGTACGTTGTGTACATGGTCATATTTGGGAAAAAGCTGCACTTTTTGACTGGAATGTGGCACTTTCTGTAGTCATAGCTGATGCCAAAAGGTAACATTTCAGATAGGGAGCCACTTCAAATTCCGTGTAGGACACAAAAATGGCCGTAATTTTACCATGTACTGTTGTACCATATTTGTTGTATCTCAGCTTCTAATGGTCTGATTTCAATGATTATTTTCCTGTTTTCATAAGGAAACTTTTTTATACTGTATTGAACATTTAACTCTAAAACCTAAGCGTTTTGAAGAATACTAATTTGAACGAATTTGAAGAACATGTTACTACATATGAAATATGATTTATGAAACTTGTTGTAAGTAACATTAAAGTTGTGCAAAGAATTCATTTTTGGCTCTAGATGAAAAGGGAATACGTACGTATGAAGCATTAATTAGATAAATACCCCCACCACAGCACACCTGCAGACTAAGCGAATTTCCATTTACCTGGTTTGATTTTTTATTAATTATATTTAAATAACATGAAGTTTCACGAATACCTTTTTTTTCTGTTTTTTTTGTAAAACTGTAGGATTATTGTTATCAGCTGCGTTATAAAGTTTTGCTATTTGGTTTGTTTACATGATTAATGTTTTTGTAAACAAATAGTTTTTGATTGAGTTTACTTAAAATGAGTTTTATAAATTAATTATTCTATAAAAACATTATTAGCTTAGTATAAAATAAATGCATGTTCCATGTTTGATCAAAATATAAGTTACTCATTAACAAGCAAACTGAAACAGTTGACAATATTCTTCATACAAACAACACGGGAATTTAACATTTAAAAATGTTTAGCGAATTTCCCATATCAGGAATTATTTGTAGGCCTACTTTATTAGTCTTGGATTTTAACACCAAGATATTGGTAATGTAAAACGAACAGAATATTAAGTAAATACAATTCTAGAGCATAAAATGTTCGGTTGGTGTATCGTGACTCAGATAAACATATGGCAAAAAGTGACGCAAGTAGAATTATGGAATAAATTATTGAGAAACAGCTAGCCGTGTGTTTAGTAGCTGGTAGACCTTACTCACAGACAAGTTGCTCCTGACTAAAACTGGTCAAAAATGCTTAGGCCTATCTTACTAATTTTTTGCGTGAGTTTATATTTTTATATTTATTCTAACTTTATTGTTTAATTATTATAATATATTATATATATATATATATAAATATATATTATATATTATAAGTGTATTTTTGTTTGAGAAGTTTAATTTTTTAGCAGCATTAGTCGTAAAACTATAAAATATTGTTTAAAACATAATTAAGTTTGTAGGAATAAAACCTCGTTTGATCAAACAATACTAAACAAACTGTCAGAATAGTCAGACTATATTGCTACTCTGATAGGCTATATATATTTTGTTATTTCGACGATTTCATTTTATTGTTTCTGATCACACTAACACAGGAATTCTTCATCTTATCTAAAGATTATATGCTGATGTAAAAATGGTTCAATGAGTTACAAATATCTAAAGTATAAGGCACCTTATTCGGTGGGAAGATTATTACTTCAGCTTTACTTTTCAAACCCCAAAAAGCGAAATATTGTTATATGTTTTGTAATGTTGTAAACTGTTTATATACAACAAACAATATACATTTTAAAATGTGATTACAGTTGTTATAATATTTTTTTACAGTCGTTCGGGGTTTGTGATGCTTTTGGTAAGTAGTCTTAAAACATTTAATTTCAAACATTTAATTGCCGATGCATCTTAAGGGGCAGCGGCTCCCCACCTTTTTGATCTGGCGACCCCCCCCCCCTTCATGTTTTTTTGAGACCTACCAAAACATACATATAAAACAATAAGGGTATTCTCTATAACGTCCCTCTTCCAGCCAAGTTTTATGTAATAGAGCTTATGACCTAGCGGTGAGACGGATGGTATCTAATATAGTGGTTTTCTTTAGGGCTCCGCACCTCTATCGTTTGATTTTTTGGGGCAGTGATGCCAACCCACTTTCATAAATGTTTAAGAGAGAAATTTACCTAAACGATTAACTATGAAAATCATTTTATAATTGTTTTTTTTTCTTATTTACTCTAGTGCACTTTTAAAACAATTTTAGGCAAAAATATAAAATTCAAATGTTGTTTTCGTATATGACAGTAGATAGAATAGGGCAAAGATAAGTCACTTGAGCGTTTATTCCCATTGCAATAACAAGGGGATCATTTTTTAGCCACTTAAAAAAAATCCTGACCCTGGCCTACACATCCTATACAAATGTTCCCTATTATTGTTCAACTTCACAAACATTTCAAATCCCCATCCATTCCCATGTATATTTTCAAAATCACCTACTTGACTGTGCGATAATATTCAGAGTTTAGAAATATTTTGAGATTTTTTAAATTTACAGTGATCAAATTTATCAGTTCTTTTTCGTGCACTATTTTCTCTAGCTGTTTGGAAACCAAACATAATATACATAGGCTTCTTCAAACTTTAAGACGTTTTTACTGACCACTTATGTCTTGTGGTATTGGGATATGATGGAAATTCGTGCAACTCTAAACTTTTAAATGCAATTTGCAAATCTTTATTTTGCAATAACATATTTTGTAATTGTAACTTCTCACCATCTGATGGTATCACATGTGGCATCTCCCATTGGAGTGTGTATTTTGGAGTGTAATTATGGTACTCTTATCAGCAGTCCCATCAGTTGGAGCATTAGGGGTGTTTAATATACAATTCAAATCATTTTTGGATCTTTTCAACACCAATTCTTGTTTGACATTTACTAAAACCTTATTAAAATCCTCCAAAACACCCATTAACAGCTCTAATGGGACACAAGAACTAAACTTGCCACCTTTATGGAACTCTTTTAAATTCGCGTTCAGAATCAAATGCCACATTAGACAATTTAGTAGTTTTATTGTAAGAGGTCAATATTTTCTTAAGACTAAAAATTCCTGGGTTTCTCACAATGTCTATTTCTTTACCTGCAAATTCGTATCTTATTTCGTCAAATAAGAATGCAAATGCGTTATTTATAAAATGTCCTTAATCGTGATTCTCAATTTATCCTTTAGTATACAGATAAATTCTACATGGGAGAGAGTTAGCAAATCTTTATTATTAATACATTTTCAAATTTTATCGGAATTATTTATTGCCAAAATGTTGTGGGGATAATAGGAGTGGTTTGTAATTTCAACCACACTATCGCCGAATTGGTATTTCCCTGTAACATGGTTTTGTAAAATTAAACACATGGCTAGAATGTAATGTCGCTTTCATAGTTTTATTATTAGCTGTAAGTAAAAAGTCTGGGGTTTGCTTTTTAATTTCCTTTGCAAGCTCAACCACCTCATATGTACCTTCAGAAATGCCTATGGTAATTGGAGCTTTGTGGTCATAATAATAAACATCCTCACCTTCTCCGATGGTTAATTTGCTGTCTAGTCTATTTGACTAAGTTGATTTAATTTTGAAAAAAGCCCTTTGAATATACTGAGTGAAATTTTTAAATTATTTCATTTGAAGAAGGCTGAACTACTCCTTAGATTCTAATTTATGACTCTATCGTTTAAATTTTCTTCTGAAAATTCATTTGTATGTGTAAAATTATTTAGAAAAAAGCTTATTTAGAAGTATTTACCTGTCACTTCCCATTCAAAGTTCTACTATTACCAAAGATTTTAACGATACAATCATACACAAATTAGACATGAAAAAATTAACATAAATATATTTTCAATCTGTTTAGAACTAACCCGACAATGTCGGGATGCTAAACCCTTGCATTAACACGCGGTGGACAGTTAGAGTATTCTCCTGACTCCTAGCGGGCCACCCCCCCGGGGAAGTAGTGTACCACTGAAAACTGTGTTGAAATGATGATAATGCCCAGTAACTTTGTACCAGGTTGTTTAACTCTATCTTGATTACTTTTTGAAACATTCAACGGTCCTGAGACTTTTTCCCCACCCCGTATACTATTTATTTCAGACAAACAATTAGTTCCACAATGATAAAACACAATTTTTTTTTCTTAAACAAACCCAAAGGAATAACTTAAAATAGCTTACATGTTTTTTTTTTTTTTTTTTTTTATACAGAATGTACTAAAATCAGAGGTTCAAATCTATAATTGTCTAGTAAGTCATTTCATAGCTCTTGTTAATACAAATATTTTGATGGATTAATAATTAGACTATTTTTTATTTGTTTAAAAGTGGTGGCTCTTAATATTGATATTAAGTATAGTTTTAAAGGCCATATATTTTTTGGAAATGCATACATCTCTATTCTGTTTAAAATGTTACATTCCTTATGAGCTATGCTTTAATTTGATATTCAATATTACAATAATATTACAAACAATGAAATTTAATAGTTTTTTTTAATAGTTGCATAGTCAAAATTTTTTAATTTAAAATTGCAGCATATGAAACAGCATATGATAAAAATATACCAAAAGTTATCAAAAAACCACATTCAAATCGGGTATAACGTTGTGTCAAAAGTTCGGTTTTAAGCTAAATCCAAATTCGTAATCATCACCAGTCTGAGTTCTACAAAACAATCTAACAAGGTAGAAATCGTGTTAACTATGTAATAGTTTTGATATTTTCGAAAAGTAACCGGTGTTCATTGAGGCAAACAAAAATTTAATGCTCAATTGCTTAATCCATATAAACTGTCGGGACCTACATGCCTACGAGAGAGGGGGAGCGAGCTGTTGTAGTGGTTAGAGCGCGGGACTTCGGTCCATGAGATCCCGGGTTAAAATCCCGCCATATCACCAATGGATTTTACCTAATAGATAATGCCGCAACCCCTAGGTTTAGCCTGAAATAATTTAAAAAATAATCCCGGCTCGTGCCTAGCTTCCTAGGACAAAAATAAACATGCATACGGTGCCTAAAACGTATTGAATGCTTAACCGGACATATTTGTTTAGCTTGTTCCTTTATGAGAGTTGTTATTGGACATCTCTGGTAAAGACAGAGAAGGCTGCATTGAGACACATCCCTTTAGCACCTGATCTTTAACTGAAATCAACTCGTTTTACAAACAGTGCGAATCCTGACTTGATGAACAACTTTGAAACATTTTGTGATACTGGGTTGGTTTGGTCTTACACTATTAACGTTTATTATCACCTTACGGGCAACAATATTATACAGGGTAGCCCGGAACTCTCTATCAAAATTTTAGGGCAATGTTGCTGGGTAAGAAACATATCTAAATATCATATTTAAATTGTCCGGAAGTCCTTCGTTACTCACACAGCCGTATCTCAGTTAATATTTTCAATCTTAAAAATCGATCTGTAATGAAATTCCTCTAAAAAAAGTTATTCTTGTATACATTTTGTAAAATCAACGGTTTTGAGTAATTTAAGAAACAAAACTTTAAATGGCCGCCATTTTGTTTTATGAATTTAAAAAAAATTTATAATTTTTTGGTAGATTTGTCTAGTTGTCATAAATGTGTGCAAAGTTTCAATTTCGTATTATTAACAATTCTTTAGAACAAATTAATAAGTGAAAAAACAAAATGGCGGCTGTGTGAGTAACTAAGCATTTCCGGACAATTTAAATATGATATTTAGGTATGTTTCTTACTCAGTAACAATGCCCTAAAATTTTGGTAGAGAGTCCGGGACACCCTGTATAGTGGACAATAACTTAGCCTGCTCTATTGCAATGTCACAGCGTTGGTGTGTGGCACGTCGCACCGGCCGGCCTATTGCTGTTTAATAACAGTATTAACAGACGCTCCATTGTGAAAAGTGCAACATCTGTTTCGGTAGGCTGGGTCTGCGGCGTTGGAACTTTTCTCTCCCCGCATCCTTGTTTTAGATGAGGCAATGCCAACAACTAAAAAAAGTATATTAAACTAATCTTATCTGTTATTCTTTCTTTTTTTTAGTAAAAATGGTTATGAATACTGATCAGAAGGATAAGTTGACCGAAAGGTTAAAAAGCAAATCAGCGGAACTTTCAAAAACATCTTTAGAAGACCACGGTGAATTGACCTGCTTCTCGGAGACATGGACTGAAACGTCCGGAAATGGGAATACAGTATACAACATAGACTACTTGGCAAAGCTCACTAACGAAAGGGATGGACAGAAGTTTTTGCTGGACTGGTATGAAGTTAGCGACTGTTCAGACGATAACAAAGCAACTGAGAGTATACAACAAGTGAAAGAAGTTGGAGGAGATAAAGTTGAAGTCAAATACTTTCTTAAATTAGCGGATGGCATAACCATTGCGGGGAAATCGAGGGTCTACCAGTTCGATGTCAATCAGAACGCTTACAAACGCGTACGTGAACTCACCACTGAAGGAACTGGATGATTAAGTTCACAGTAAACCATTTGTTGAATGAAATGTATCACTTTTTGTATCACTCTGTGTTCCATCCCTGAAACTGGCTGATTATGGTGGAGATATATGAAGAGACGGATTATCCTCTAGTCAGGGCCCAGGCTGTTGGGCGTCATCTTTGACTTTCATCTTTGATAAAACGAAAAGGGACAATCAAATGTAGAAATTTCTATCCGAAACATTAATATACCAGCAATTTAATGTTTCCAAGCTGATTAGAAAGTAGACCAAGCGAATTTCCCTCATTGGATTTTCACAGAAATATTTCCTACATGTCAGATTTATTCCCTATTTAAATAACATCAGGTTTAATGAGTACTTAGGTTTTCTGCTACAGGGAAGTTAATCTATTATACTAATTCCGTAAGGAATTTCTTGTGCACAGCAAAACTCTTTTATTTATGAACCGATTTTGATGATTGATGTGTCAAATTAAAGGGAATTATCTGCAAAAGTCATGGAATAATTTTAGTTACGCTCAGTTCAATGTGCTTCGCCCCATTGGACTTTAAAGTTTCCATGTATTTTTAAATAAGTGAACATTTAAGCTTGGAAAATTTATTTATTTTATACTAAAGTTATAATATTTTACTAAAAAAACGCACTTTATTAACTTCCCTGTAGCAGAAAACCTAAGTACTCATTAAACCTGATGTTATTTAAATAGGGAATAAATCTGACATGTAGGAAATATTTCTGTGAAAATCCAAATATATATATACACACAAAACACAAGCAAACCACAACAGTTTACATTATTCTCCATAAGAATAACATGGAAATTTCAAATATAAGTTTTTTGTATGTTCCCCGTAACCAATAATGGTATAAAAACAATACAATATACTAACTATTTTTAAGTGCTACAAAATGGTTTGGAAATTAAATGTAAAACATCTACAGTAAATTATTAATACGCTACATGAAACTTTGTGAACAATAAGGCTTTTTTGTTTAAAGGTTTAACCCCACATATTATATACCAAAATGTTCGTCTAGGCGTGTAGATGTGCAAATTAAAGTTCCCATGTTATCCTTATAAAGAACTGATTTGTTTACATTATCATCAGCTAGATAATTTAATTGCTGTTAACATTTTACTTGTAATTTAAGGAGACGTGTGCTACAAACATTTACTGACTTTGTTAAAATGAAATATTTACTATTTGAATTTGGGTTTGCGTAAATACTCACCACATGGAAAAAAGCGAGAAAGCCTGGACTATTTAATATACTAAAGAGTTATTTGAATTAACAATGTGCTGCACTTCTTGAACAATAACTGAAAGAGCCGATTTGCAAACTATGGAAACATAAGAAAGTCATAGAACACCACCAATTAGAAGAAATAGATATAATGTTTTCTTTTTATTTATAAACGTTATTATTGTGACGCATAGCGGCACGATATATTTTATATAGGGTGTGCATTTTGCGAAGCCATGACCAACTCGTAGCCTGCCGCGACTGCATGAACGCTCTCTCCCCACCTTCCTACCTACACTCTTATCCTCCGTTTTGCTCATCCATCTTTTGTAGAAGAAGCAGCAGCCGAATTTCAGGGCGTCCTTTCCGACATAAGGGATAAGTTACTTAGAATATAATTATGTAGGATTTAAGTACCTAGTAATTATGTGCGGCTAAGTCAGAAAACAAGCGGGGAGCCCTTCAGGCTTCGCCCGCCTTTGGAATGTAGGAAATTTATCACATACCCGGTTCGCTGCCCTTCGCCCTTTCTCAAACCTGAAATTTCATTCACATGTCCCCAGAATGTAACTTAACATTTCTCAATCAAATTGATATATTTTTAATTCAGCATTTAATCTACGTACAGCATTATTTCATTCTTTCTTCTTCTTTTCATTCATCAGCATTATTAGTAAGCAATTCTCCATGTTCAGTTCATAATTTGGAAGGATAGGTCTATAGTTATATAGTTATTTAAATTAGTGTAAATCAATGCTGGCTAGGCAGGAGTTCTGAGAAAGAATTCTGAGAGAGAGTAAAAATGCTACATAAATTTTAAAACTATTACCATACGATGCATAGCTGAATGTGATGTGATATATGTTTTCTGAATTAAGTTTTGTAAGCTGTTAAGAAGCAAGACGAAATCTAAAATCTTTATGCTTTTCGAAAATTGAACTTTTAACACCAAGAGGATTGATATTTGAAGACAAAGTTTCAGCTATGCAACCTGAATGGTTTAACGTTATGCTTGAAATGGTGGTTGAGATTTCGCAACAAATAAAAACAAACATCAATCTACTTATAATGAAATTTTAGGATTTATAAATAATAATTTTAAAAAATAAAATTTTTTTTCCCATTGGAACACATCAGAATTTGTTTCTTAAACTTCGTGACGTACAATTGTTTTTATATAAACCTATATTTGCATTGTTGTCATAGCATTTAAGTTTGTATATAAAAATAACTAGAACCTTCACTCTGAGTTCTGATTCACTTACGATGCAAGATGTTATATGTCTATTTAAAGTAATTGTTCAAAGTAATTGTAATTTCCCACTGTATTATTTATCGCAACACGTTGTAATGATAGCTAGTTGTTACATGTTGCACCAATGACAACATTAATTATTTGTACAAAATATTTAATGATGCTGCACTCCAGTTTGAAAGTTTTGTCAGTGAAAATTTGGAAGAAAGTTAACAAGTGCAGTAGACGTGTAGTCAGCAAGAAACTTTGATCGAAGTGATTTGATATGGTCAGTCGTTGCACTCGTATTTATTTTTAGCTAGGAATATTATATTTTAAAAATTTGTATTTTTATTGCACTTTATGACTCATCAAACTAATTTTACTGTAAATTGCGTTTTACAAAACGGTTTATTTGCAAGTCAGTGGAGGTACTTTTTATGTAAATGAAAAATATTCCTAAGCCCTTTTAGGTTACATTATTTAACCTTTAAAACACTTCAACAGTAGGTGTTTTTCCTGGTTATAATTTCAAATATAACTTAAAACCCGAGAAGTTTAACCATTTTGACGACCATTTTCTTAAATGGATGAATAAAAGTTACAGCTAAAGCCCCCTTTTAGGATTCTATGTGTTCAATTCCTTTTTAACATTCGTATTTTTTTTTTTTTAAATCACAAGTAAGGGTATTAATCTCATTTAAGCATGTTGTAGGGAATTAGTTTAAACATCAGTAAGCCGCAAAACAACTAGAAAAAAACAATGTTGTGTGTTTTGGTGTTAATTGATATTACAAATTCTCGTCATATAAAAGAAAATCTCTCTCAACAATTAAATTAATCCAAAAGACACTTAGTGATGTGCATTGTTGGAATCTCTCAATGATTGTTTTCCTTTTAGTAATTATTACTGCTAAACACATCACTATCAGAGAAAAACATGACACTATTGCTGAAAAAGGGAATAAACATATTTTCAGCTTTGATTGGAACCATCTTTAGCTCAAATAGTTATAATTAATAATACTTACTCTAGGTACAAAACCCGTACAGGTTTTTTAATATAAACTGTACATTCCTAAGTGTTTGGAAATAACCAAGGAAAGCCTTATACACGAGAGAGTAACGAATAAGGAAGTGTGAGAGAAAGTTTTATGGTTTTAGGGAGTAATTTATATTCTAAATCCTTGTTTATTGCAAGTCCTAGGCACTAACTAAATGTATGGAGCCTTTGAAATGTAAATTTATGTACATAGGCTACAAATCGTATTCATAGTAACCAAATGAATTATTAAATTATAATTTTTTATTAAGTTTATTTCATAAGTTTATTAAGCATTTATTTTAGTATTTGTTTATCCCTGTTAAGGCAAATCAGTTAAAATGTTCGTTTTTGTCCGAATAAATTGTATTTCCCAGATCCATTCAAAAAGGCAGGTGTTCACCGCAAATGACTTATCATAACTACTCGTAATTATAACAATCCATCTTTCCAAATTCAACAGACAAATATTTGTAAGGTAAAATCTCGACTATTACACTGATTTACTCATATTTATTTTATTTAACTTGCACAAGTTGGTAAAATTTATCCACAAACGTCCTCTTATAAATTATAAATTTGAAGCAAATTCTTAGCGTCACATATCGTAAATATTTTAACTAGAACATTTTACAGATCGATGTTTGACTTTACAATATAGTTCAAATACACATATAAGCAACATTTATTGTTGAAAAATGCTATTAATTAGTTAATCAAAGTAAAAAATTTAACATTTTAAAATTTATTACACATAAAATATTTTATATTTTACGCATAATATATTTTTATGGATTTTTTTACAAATAAATTATTCAAAAAACAACTAAATAAATTGAGTTAACAAGTGTTAAGGATAGTTACGTGTACAATAGTTAACGCCAGTGAGTGTACAATGGACATATGCTGCAGGTGACGCTACTAGTTATGTTAGGCTATTGCTTTGATAGAGTTAATCGGTATAGAGCTACATAGGACATAGTAGATAGGATTATCCTCCCAACGTCATAGATATGTCCTAAAAATAAATGGATAAAAAAGTGTTTCTTTAATAAAGAGAAATGGATATACAATTATTTGCAAGTTGGTGCTTGGATAGTGATTTTTAGTTTACAAAAATCTTGTTTTTGTGTGGCACTGTAAAAGTTACAAAACATGGTTGTTAAAAAGAACCACATGTAACATAAGCTACTTAACCCTTCTTATTATACAGAAGTTATTTTAAAACTACAGTAATAACAGTCATACTTTTCGATGAGTTTAAAAGACCTGACTAAATGCTTATATAACTAATAGAAATACTCACGCTATTTTATAGCGCTTTGAAATAATAAACGCTTGTAAAAATATTTTAGAATTTTTGGACCCAGCCTTATTTTTAGTGTTTTCTACAAATGTTTCCCGACTTAAAGCTGTTACCAGTAAACCTTTCTTGAATGTATTTATTTTATCTGACTTTAGGTAGGTTTACTTTACCACTGTGACAACATGATGTGTATATTCTTATTGTTTTTTTTTTTTTTTT